TCCTCTAAAATGGTGGAGCCCCGTTGGAGGGGGAGCGGCTGGGAGGCTATTTATCTCCGTAAGGGACCTCTGTGCTCCCTGCTGCCCAGGGGGTTAGAGTGCCCAGAGATCCCCAGATTCCCTGCCTCTGGTCTAAGTGAGCTGTCCTGCCCCTTTAAGACTTCCAAAAAGCACTCCCCTTCGCAAGGTGCTGGGTTCTTGCAGGTGTCGAGGTGGTCTCGATGTTGTCCTGTGTCCTGTGGTGTCTATTTTAGGAAGATTTTTCTTTGTTATATTTTCATAGCTCTATGTGTTTTTGGGAGGAGATTTCCACTGCTCTACTCACGCTGCCATCTTGGCTCTGCCCTCATTAAATTCCTTCTTAACCACAGAGCTCAGGGAACATTGCAGATAGCATTGTGGAACAGGTGTCCCTTGGCATCTTTGTCTCTAGTCTGCTCAATGTTTTGCTCTTCAATTGCATTTGCAGTGAGAGCAAACTCCTCCTTTCTTGCCATGGGAAAGGCAAACAGCATGTGAATGTGGAAGATCAAGTTTGTATGGGCAATAAAGGAGGCAAGCTAGTTAGCTATTAACTAGCAGACAAGATAACTTTGCTACTTATCAAGCACTAAGCACCACCCTTGGAAGGCCTTTTCCCCACTTTTTTCCAGCCCAAAGTGGTAAGGCAGATTAAAGCCTTGGGCAATCACAGTGTCCAGGCGGCAGGATCCAATAAACAGCAGGCAGCTTGTGGTGGGAGAAATCACAGGCAGGCAGGAAGTATGGAGGCTGAGGGGTGAGTGAAGCTGGAAGGGGGAGGCCTCAGGAATCAGGGGTAGGAGGAGACTTAAATGGCTTCTAATATTTTCCTGGAGCTCCACATTTATTTCAGCACCATTAAAGGCTTATTCCCCACTGGTAGCCTCTCAAGGTATTAGGCACCCTACGTGGTATAAAGCAAAGGTACAGAATTGTGAAAGTGTTAAGATATGTTTGAGAAAGGTTGAATAGTATAACTATGTGTTTAGGATAAGCTAATATCTGCGATGGGAAATGGGCAGAAGAGAGATTTTGGGGTGAAGTCATAGACTTCAGGGATAAGTGCTAGCAGTAAAGATAAAATATTTTCCACCATATCTCACCAAGTTGATACCATCGTATAAAATCAGTTTGAACCTCTTTAAAAACTTTGTATTTCACAAGCATTTATCTTAGTGATGAAAGGTTTTTGAACATAGACACATCCATCTATAAGCCGGGAAGTCGGCCCTCATTAAACATGGAATCTGCCAGTGCCTTGATTTCGGACTTTCCAGCCTTCAGAAATGTGAGAAATAAATTTGTCTTGTTTATAAACCCTGTAGTCCATGGAATTCTTTTATAGCAGCCTGAATGGACTAAGACATCAAGGTGCTGGCAGATTATCTTCACTGCTAGCACTTATCCCTGAAGTCTATAACTTCACCCGCAAATCTCTTTTCTGAAAAGAAAAACACCAGCCAAACACCATGGAAAAAACACAGTCCTGTCAGCAAAGGCCAAGTGGGTGGCCTAAACTTCCATCCTTGCTCAAGGTGCCCCCTCTTCACCGAAGAAGACCTAGAGGGGGGGGCTGGTGCGGTCATCCGTACTGGTAACAATAAAGCCCTGCCCCAGGGGTGTCAGTGGAGGCCACGGGGGATGCTTCACCCCACCCAGGGGCACTGAGGCACACTTCCCCTTCCCTTGCTGGGCGGTGTTGGAGTTGGCCAAGTGAGAAGCCGGAACTTTCACTGCCATTCAGTGGTAGCAAAGCGTCCCTCACCTCCCAAATCACCACTGTGCTTCCTATAAATCTATAGTTCTTTCCAAATAAAAGTATTTTTTAAAACTAAAATCTCTGCTGTCTTGTCATCCTCTCCTGGTTATGCTAAATGACTGTAAAACCTGGGGAGTGGGGATGGGGAGAGGGCGGAGGAGGGGCGGAGAGATCGACCCCACATGATTGTGCTAATTTCTAAATGTTTCCCAGTTGGTGAATAGGTTGAAACTCTGTCTCCATTTGCAACATTCTGTTTGCCTCGAAACCTGCTGGCAAGGCTGGGAAGGCTGGCATGTACGTAACCGGCATAAGGGGTGAATTATGAAATCCGAAGAGGCAGAAAGTTGCCAAATGTCAGGGGCTATGTGAGGACCATCTGGGGAGCTTTTTAAAAATACAAATTCCTGAGCTGCCTCACTGTGGAGATTCTGATGGCTGAACTTCTGAAGAAGCGTCAAGGACCCCACAGTCCAATTGCAGCTCTGACTCAGAGCTGAGCCCGAGTGGTAAGAGCTGTGGGTGATAATCCTTTATGTTTCATTCTAAATACATGATCTAGGGCATGCCATTTCTTTTTACTCTGGTTAGTATATTGTTTTTAATGACAGAGAGGTTTTGCTGCTCCAGTTTTAACAAATTTTCAAGATAATGGAATGCAGGAAAAACCTGGAGGTGAATGAACTGTGTTGCCCTCACCGTTTTGTGCTCCCCACGTCCCACCTGTCCGACAGCTGTATTTTTAACTGTTTGTTCCCATGGACCTGAATCCTGCTGGTAGGGAAGAAAGCCAGGGATGCATGGGAGGTCTCCCTGGCTCCCTACGCTGAAGTCGTGCTCCGGGGACACTATGATTGCCTCCAACAATGAGAATAAGTTGACTGCAACACCTAGACTGCCATTCAGAGCCGCATCTGCCAGGTCCCAATAAGTGACATTCTAAGACGGCCCTGAGGAGCTGCCTCTTGAGCTGTAGTTGCTGGAGAAAATAGAGCTATGAATCCAGGGTTGCTGCCTGTCAGTCAGACAACGATTGGGCTGGACAGATCCCCGAGGCGGGCTTAAGGCTCCAGGAACACAACCAGTTCTCAGCAGCCTCAGGAGGTAGCAGTTTGCACTCTCTCTTTCAGTCTATCTTGTTTAAAAATGAGGGGATGGTATTCAGTCACTTGATATATTAATTGCCTGTCTGGTTTTATTTCATTGTCATGAAGATCCAAAACTTTTGGTCATCTATTTTACCCAGAAGCATTATTCAACATCATCTCCAAAATGACCATAAAAATAAACTCACTGGCTCACAGGGAAGGTGAACTAACATTCACCAAGGATGTCCCATGTGCCACGAAGGGTGCCATGGACTTTTCATGTCTGTTGTTCCTTCTATTCCTTAGAACTCTGAAAGGTGGGTGTTATGATCCATATTTTACACATAAATGTAAAAAAACATATGGATGGTGGAAGCCATACAAGAGGGGTACTCTTTGGAAATTAAATTTGTGAAGGTATATGTGTGTCGGGGGGTGGGTGAAGAGGGGGCTCTTATTTAGCAAGAGAAATCGCCACCCATGTCACGGCATGGGCAGAGACAGGCGATCATCTGGAAACTTTTGAAAACAGCTTCCCTTAGCCCAGTAGGATGGACCAACCTGGGGTCACAGGATGTTACCTCTCTTAGAGGCAGGAGTAGAGGAGGCGCCCCAATGTTGGGAGAGAGGAGCGGGTCACTAGAAACAGAGGAGGATGGGGGATCTGCAAGGTGGCAGACATTGGGACTAGTCTTGGACCAGTACTCGGTCCAAGGTCACTGTGGCGCTGCTTGGTAGGAGAGGAGGACTTAGCAATTATGCCAGGGAACATGGGCTTCCACTGTGTGGACCTCTGCCACCTCTTTTGGTCAGAGTGACAGAGCCAGATGGGTCACTTTCTGCACTTTAAGACTGTCATAAGCCTCAAGAGGCACGGAATGGGAGGCAGACCGGAAGGTCTGATCTCCTTGCTGTTTCCTGTATATGGGGGACAAAGCAGAGCATGACCCGCTCCTTGAGCCTCGTTAAATACAGGTAGAGAAACTGAGATTCTGCGAGATGAGGTGATTTTCCCCAGGTGACGCTGCTGTGCGTGATTTTCCCCATCAGGTGCTCTGGACTGTCTGATGGTGAAGTCCATGAGGATTTTGTTCCATAAGTTTGTGAGCTGTGTCCCTTTCCTGCACTGGATGGACATACAGAAGCTATTTTCATTTGTTTTTCAATTTAAATCTTGTTTCTTTCCTATTTACCATTGCATCTAGCCTCTCTTTGGGCTAAGTTCATAGAGAATAATTTTTAAGGAAAGATACCATGTGCAGTTATTAAACGTTTGAAAATCTCAGCCTAAAATCATGAAGTAGAACAAGCAAGGATATAAGTGTTGGTGTATGACTAGGGTCTTAGCCCATGACAGCAGGACAGATTCCAGGGTATGGGGTCACTTCTGTGTCTTTGCCTCTGTCTGGAAACCTGCCACCCAACCTGGCACCTGCACCTACAAGGGCAGGAAAGCGTTTCCAATCAGTTAGTCCTGGAGTCCTTGCTAGAGAAAGCAAGACAGTAGCATTCTCTTTGTGAAGGATTTTGTTGGAGCTGTGAGGACACAAGCCCTCATGACTTATTTGAGCTATGCTCAAAGGATATACCCTAGATTTTTCAGTTAAATGAGCCTGTGGTGGTAACAGGCAACATTTATTGAGTGTTTACTATCTACCAGTTTCTTTCCCAAGTGGAATACCTCATTTAATACACAGAACAACTCTGAGGTAGGTACTACTATTATCCCTACTTACTTGTGAGGAAACTGAGGAACAGAGATTCCCAAATGACATATGAAACTGGGAAATATCCAACAAGGCAATCAAACCATAAACTTTGGGGTTAATTTTCTGCTGAAGAGAAACAATAAGCATCTCTACCAGACAGAAATGTACAGGTTAATGTAGAGCTTCACAGAGTCTGGGTCCTAATCAAATCATTTCACCCATAAAAAAACCAAAACTATGGATTGTTCTTTCTGGTTATAAAAGTAACATCTTAACCTTGGAGAACATTTGGAAGACACTGAAAAGAAGAAATCCGAAAGTCAAAATTATCTGTAAAATTTATAATGAAAAAGTATATTACTTTTGTATTAACCATGAAAAAAGTTAAATAAAGGTTCATCTTTCTAGAGAATGAAATAATGATTTGGTAGGCATTGTAGACAATGTTGCAGAATGGAGTTGAAAGGGCAGGTATCCTTCAGGTCCATGCAGAGCCTTTCAACTCTATCAGGTGAAATCATTCTTCAAAGCCCAACACTCTCACTTATTTCACAAATATATAAAGCATCAATGAAAAGGGTGACTTTCACAGCCTGGAGCCATGAAAATGCTGAACACAGATGAGTGATGGCGCCTGAACCAGAGGCTCCACAACTTGGCTGCTTGTGGAGTTGTTCTTTTGTGGAATCCTTTATCTTCCAGGAACATGGGTCATTCTTCACATGGGAGTCTTTTCTCATATCGTAACCAGCTTACCAAGAACTGTCTTCTTTCCTTCTCATAGGCCTCAGGGTTCTGCTTTCCTCTCCTTTAGGTACTAATTCTTGGGAGTCTTCTTTGCCCCCTCCACTAGGCTGCACAGTGGGACACAATGTCATAATGTTGTCAGCTACATTTCAGAGTCCCAGGGAATCTTGCTCTCTCCTGGTGTCTTGGATTTTCTTTTGCTACAAAAAAATAAAATAAAAATAAACACAGAGAGATGCAGATGCAGATACACAGACAAACAGACACACACACACATACATACTCACACACAGATTGAGAGTGAGAGAGAACCTCTAGGAGATGCACTGGATGAAGAAGAAAAGTTATCCTAGAAGGATTAGAGGGGGGTGGAAAATATTTTTCCTGACTGTAATTCCAAAAATTCTCAACATGTGTCATGAATTTGTGTGAAGATATTGGCAATCTGTTAAAATGCAAACATGTTATTTGCAAGGGACCTTTGTTAAAGTAGGCTAAACTCCTAGGGTACCTAATCCCTAGGAGACAGCATTGTCCTTAGAAGCTGGCCAATGGGCTGCAGAATTTCTTAGAGGTGGTGAGAGAACGGCTGGACCCAGTGCTGGACAGCCGAGAGTACTGAATATCTAGGGGAAAAGGAGTCAGCTTTCAGAAGCAGGAGAGGGTTAGAGTGGGGAAAGGAGGGCCACTCAAACCAAGCTGTTTTCTTTATGGTTTTGCTGAGGACTGTTTCCTGTTTTCTCATCAGACTTTCTCCTAGCAGGGAGATACTGTGATGTGCCATCCAGATGCCCCTTCAATGAAGGGCATGCTGCCCTCCTTACCTGGAAGTCTGTTGGCAGAGTCTTCAGCTGTCTGCCACGGTGCCCCCTTCCCCCCCCACACACCTTGGGAATTCTCTGGATACAGAGCTGCCTTGCCCACTGTGATCATGCCCCTTCCCAAGGTGGCTCACGCCCAGTGAGATCCACGCCCAGCTACAGGAGCCTGACCATCTTGCCAGATTCAGGACAATCCTGAGGGCACTGGCCAAGGCTGTCACTGGGACTGCCTGTAACCGGGCCTCCCACTCCCTGCCCAATCTTCCTTCCCTTCCCTTTAAGAGGAGCTGGTTCCTGGGGAACTCATGCATGAGGTATTTAGAGTCTCCTGCCTAGGGGACCAGATTTGCAACAGGGTTCAAGTATGAGGAAAAGAAATTATATGTGGAAACCATTTCTTCTAAAGGAGAGGTCAAAGCTCTTGATATCCTTGTAAGGGTCTGATGAGGATGAAACTTCCCTTTTTGAGATGCTGAGTGGATCACTCATTCAGAGAACCGTAATAAGCTTTAAGGAAGGAGAGCCCTACAAATGCATTTCAGAAAGTTCTTTGTCCTGATTCTTTAAGAAAGGCAGCCGAGCTAACAGTGCCAGTCCCTGAAAAGAAGAGATGGAAAGGGCCAGCTTCTGTTCAAATCAGCCGGTGGTGTCAGATAATTCTTTCCTAGAATTGTGCTGTGTGGTTCTGTCTTTGAAGCTGCATCAGATGAAAATAATCCCCAGCCTTTCTGATGCATCTCTTTTTCCAGTTTTCTAAAAACTGAAGTTATCTGAGCTTGAGTTTCTCTCATTTGTGTTGTGCCAGCTTCCATAAGTAAGGCCAAGGATACAAGCCCCGTATTCTGTGCATTTGCTTTATGAAGGGATTAGGGGGGCCTGAGGGCTCAGGCTGGCTCATCAACCCCAGGGGTCCCCGCCTTTCTTCACTACAAGGCATTTCTCTTCAAGTGTGCCGGTATCATTGGATGAAGCAGCTGTTCGTTCCTTTAGAATGAAGTTTTTGATTGTTTTTTTTCCCCAGAAAGTTGTCAGAACTAGGCCTAGATGTAATGGATTGAATGCGTCCTCCTCAAAGGAGGGCTGAAATTCTCATACCCAGTGAGATAGTTTTAGGAGGTGGGGACTACAGGGAAAGTAATTAGATCATGAGGGTGATACCCTTATGAATGGGAGTAGTGCCCTCGTGAAAGGAACCCCGGAGAGCTTTCTTGCCCCCTTTCTGCCATGTGAGCATGTAACAAGAAGACAGCCCAGGAAAGGGCTCACCTCAGGGGGCAGCTCAGTCCTGGACTTCCGGTCTCCAGAACTGTGAGAAATAAATTTCTGTTGCTTACAAGCCACCCAGTCTATGGTACTGTATTATGGTATCCTGAGTTGACTAAAACACTAGAGAAGGTTCTTTTTATTCCATTTCTGCATGGCAGAGTTAGATTACCTAGGTGAATACACACAAAGCTTTGGCACATCCAGATTGTACCCAGAAGATACTTTGTAATGTCAACTGATGGTTTTCCTTCTGTTATCTCCTTCCATGCTTTGACCCTCTCCTCACCAATATTTACACTCCTTCCCCTCACCAGTTTCTTTCTGGTATTCACAGTCCACTGTCTCAGGAAAGGAATGGAAACCTCAAAGCCCCTAAGAAACAAACAGAAATAACTTAAATTTAGGATGAAAATGTGAGTTAGTATCTCCAAGACCAGAAAATGGTTCCCCAGGCTAGGAGTGGGCAGGGAAGCCAGGAGAGCTTGGGTATTTGTCCTCCCACCTTCTGCGGCTTGAAGGTGGATGGAGGTGAGTAGTCAAAAGAACCAGCAGAAAGGTTTGGGGGATACACAAGGCAGAGTGTGTTAGTCAGCATGCGCTGCCATAAAAAATTGCCAACTGGGTGGCTTAAACAACAGGAATTTATTTTCTGTTCTGAAGGCTTAAAAGTCCATTATCCGTTTGGTTCCTGGTGAAAGCTGTCTGTCTTGCAAACAGCTGCCTTCTTACTGTGTCCTCACATGGTAGAAAGAGAGATTGAGTGAGAGAGAGCTCTCTGGTGTCTCTCTGATAAGGATACAAATAATACTGGACTAGGGCCCCACCTTTACCACCTCATTTAACCCCAATTATTTGTTTACTCCAAATATAGTCACACAGGGCTTTAGAACTTCAACATGCATTTGGAGGTGGGGGGAACAATTCAGTCCATAGCGCAGGGATTTGTGGCCAGAGAGAGAGAGAAAGAGAGAATGGGAGTGTGAGCTAGTGCACAAGTGGGAGGACACTGGTTACAAGATCCAGCTAAATGTTTCTAGGCCATCAGAGATGTTTCCTGGCCCAGCATATCATGGAGGGTCTGAATGGTTCTCATGTACCTGAGAAGAGCCCAGAGACAGCTCATGGGGCCAGACACAGAGGAACCTTGTCAGTAAGAGTAAGGGCCACTACAGTACTACCTGGATCAGCAGCAGAGGACCACACGGAAGGATGTGCATATCAGAGGTGCCAGCAGGTACAGAACTGCTCCTCCCACCACATCCACCTCATCTCATCATTACTCTAGAAAGTTAGACAAAACTCTGGTGAAAGGAGACAGATCCGAACTTCTGACAGAATAGGGACTCAGATTAAAATCACGGTAAGATACAGAATTATAGTTCCTTTTATATACAAAGGACCTAATTTCCTTTATGAGGTAGAGAATCCACCAGAGTCTTGGTTGGACTCTCCTTTCTGGTCAGATTAGATTAGGTACATTCATGACTATAGTCGATGTATTTCCATAAAAACAATGTAAATGAGAGGCTTTGCTCCAACAGACTGAACCTCATTACTTAGCTCAGATCTGTCAAGATTCTTGGTTGTCAAGCGCAGAGACCACTTCAGGTGAACTCAAGCACAAAAAGACTCTGCCCCAGGGGCTTCCACCAAGACTGCTCGTCTCCTGACTCCTCCACCAGCCTGTTTCATGAGCCCTAACTGGCAACGGAGCAGGATGATGGGGGGTGGGATAGATATATGTGTATGCTTATACATACACAAAATAGATCTAGAAGGATACACAGGAAATTGTATAATACTCATATTTCCTCGGGGAGAACTGGGTGGTGGGGACACAGGTGGAAGGGAGATTTCTCATTACATAATTTTTTTGTACCTTTGGAATGTTGATTTCTGGAAAAAAATAACCTGTTTGAACTAAAAAGTCCCATTCAATCCAATTTAAAACTCGCAACTCAGTCAAAGCTCCTTCCCCTCTCTAATATCTCATCATCTGGGCCTCCACAACCTGCAGGTGGGAAGGAATCAAGGCATGCTTTCTCCTTGTTCTTACACTCCTCCCCTTCACACCCGTGCTCTGGGCTCCTGCAGGGGTGGGGTGAGGCTTGGATAGTAGATGGTGCTATTTGTGGTTCTTTCCTGCTGGGCCACACGCTTTGGAATGTTAGCTTTTTGTGTGTTTTTCAGTACCTCCTCTCCTCCTTCCCTGCCTAGGGAACTCCATCTGCATAGTATCTGGATGGGAGTTGTGGGCTTTTTGGCTGGCCTCATGTAACTTCCTGTCCATCTCCTTTTGTGTCTTCTGTGGCCTTTTATACTAGGATTCCTTTCCCTAGCAGATGATCCTTAGAGGAGAGCTCAGCTTTTTTCCTGGCTTCCATTTCACCCATGGAAATATTACACATCTTGCCACATCAAATACTGGCCTGCCTGCCAATGAGAGCCACTCCAGCTAGTATCCTAATTTGGGTTTTCCAGGCAGGAAGCAGAATTAAGTTTCTACGTTTATGTCTTCCACCTAAACTCAAGTTTTCCTGAGCATTCTTTGACCAGCTCTTTTCTGGGCACTGAGGTTGGCTCATGAATTTCTGCAGGTATTTAGTCTAGAATTAATGCCAGTCTCCTTTTTGTAAGGAGTTCTCTGCCACCAACTGTCTGGGGGTGGGAGGAAAGAGGACCCTTCAGCTGACAACTTGTACCTCAGAATTCTCTCATTCAGTGAATTCCAGTCTTTTGGTTATTTGAGCTGCTAGGGTACCAGGGTGAGAATCCAAAGTCAAGTTTGACCTCCTCGTATCAAAATCGGAGAGAGGTAGCTCTTAGGCTGCCCTCCTTAGAATGTAGAGTTACTTATGGCCTATTGTCTGCAGCTGTGGGGCTTTATCCAAAGTTTTGAGACAAATGGAAGTGTCCTCTTCCACATCTGGTTACTCAACATCAGTAGAAACTTCAAAACATCACCCTGCCATGGGAAGAAAAAGTTAGTTTTTAATGATAATCACTAACATTTATTGAATGCTTACGGGGTACTAAGGACTTTACATATTAATGCATTAACTGCTCACAACATTGAGAAAGGGAATTTCATCCCCATCTCAGCGAGAAAACCTGAGACCCAGAGATCACGTCACCAATGGCACATTGGGATTTGAATCTGTATTTATCTGACTCGAAAATCAATCTGCATATAAAAGTGAGTAGTGCCTGTCCTCATGGAAGTAAAAACTCATTGAACTCATACCAGAATAAAATTTTTTGTCATCATGCATTTTACCAATTAAGTGAAACTAAAAATGTTATCATTATCGTGAAGGCTCAGGAAGAACTTTGCTTTTTAAAATGAGTCTTCATACTGGACCTACTGGAAACCACTGAATCATCACAAGGACATAAGCCATTACCTGAGGGAGGGATTTTGTGCAGTCAAAGGACTGGCAATACCTTGGTTATAGAAGAAATACTGAGCAATCTCCTTGGGTAACCCTACTTACACATCACACAGCTTGGAGTAAATTATAATGGCTACTTAGTGTTACTGATGATAACAATAAGTAATCTTAGGGGCGCGGTTAGAGATAGGGAGGTGGATTATTTTGTTTCCTGTTTACGTTTGACTCTGCGGCTGAGCTCCTTCCAAATCTCTTACAGGGAGCAGTCACATTTGTCCTAAAACTTCAGTCATCCACGATCCCCAGGGAAGGCACTCATACACTTTCTGCTAGTGGAAGCCTGTATAATAGCTTGTTTAATCTAAAGATCCATATTCCAAGAAATTCGGTGTCAGTAAGGTAGCTTTTGGTCCTTCTTGTCACATCCTTACCTCCCCTGGACCCTAGCACGAGTTCAGATTCACTATCACCACCGGTAATACTTCCGGGTCCTCACAAGGGTGGGCAGCGCGAAGTATTGGCCTGTCCACATGGCAGGCGAGGAGAATTAAGGTGCAGATTGGCCTAGGGGCACGGAAAGTTCTGCACTGTCCTTTACACCTCGCCTCACTGTTTCCTCACTCCTGCCACCTCCTCTGGGTCTGACTTCCCCTTGCCCACTCGCTTCCCGTCCCGCCGACCCTCACTTACACCACAAACAAACCGAGGCCCTCAAACTACATTTCCCACAAGGCCACGCGCCAACAGGCCTTGCCTGGGGTTGTGCCTAAGCTGCCGTTGCGATTAATGTCGAATCACAGCCATATTTCCGGTAAAGAGCTGAGTTATTGTCTACTTCTCCGTTAGGAAACTTCTTTTCTTTTCCACCTACGATCCTCAGTGATCGGTGAAGACGCCCCCTGCGGTGGGAAATTCATTCAGGCGAATGCTCTGGCCAACCTCTTCCTGCTCGTGCCTCGGCCCCTGCCAGGTCCTCGGGGGCCTGGGAGTGTCATTGGTGGATGACCGCAGCCCTTGCTGAGGCCGCTGTCACTGCGACCATGGCCCCTGGCAGCAGTGGCCTCTCCGCAGCCCGCCTCCTGTCTCGCTCCTTCCTCCGTGAGTCCGGCAGGGCTATTTTCTTCCAGGCTTCCGCGAGTTCCTGGCCTACCAGGCCCCGCGTCCTGCTCCGGCCCGCGCCGGGCGCCCCAGTGCGGGGAGCTGGCGGGGGCCTGAGAGCCGCAAGAGTCCCGAACCAAGTCGAGGATCCTCCGGGATGGAGAGGGTTTTGCAGGATATGTGGGACGGCGGCATGACTTAGGCTGCTGGCGGGTGGGAACGTAGGGTGGCTGAGCCAGGATCCGGGTCTGAGAGCCCTGCAGACCTGGGCGCACGTTCTTGACCTCGTGGTGGTAAGTGGCGGGATGGGGGCGGCATGTTATGATTGTCCTTATTTAGGAGTGAGAGGTGAGGTGGTCCAGGATGAACCCCAGGATAAGGGTGTGTGGGTGAGAAGTAGAGGAAGTATGCTTCAGTAGGAAATTGGAGGGGGTGGGGTGGAGGTGAGGTGAGGCCGTCTCTTGTACACAAGGGTGCTACACTTGTAAATGTCTTCTCTGTAGATTGTAGGCTCAGCAAAAATGTGGCGTTGTCACCCAGAGTTAGCATAGCCTAGAAGACTCCCAGAAGTTTAGGGACCTTAACCAATTATTTACATCTCCACCAGGCGGTGTGAATCTTCAATTCCTGAAAACAATACCCAAGGTTGGTAGTCTTTGAGTATCGCTGACTGTTGAGAATTACTGCGGTGTTCAAAGTCTCTGTGTTTGTTAGCTACGTTGTGTAGGAACAGACTTTGGAATAAGCCACATCAGGGTTTGAAGTCTGGCTAGTCCCTTACAGTCTAATAACCCTGAGCACTTTCTAAAATTTATTTCTCAATTTCTGTTTCTAATCCTGTGAAAATAATACTGTATTTTAATAGAATCTGAGACACTATCACTTGTAAGATGCACCTTTTTTTTTGATGCTACTAACAGTGGAAAGTGATTGCTGACTAAAACTGACATGCCATTAGTTGTCAGATGCATCCCGATTTAAGACATGTTAAAAAGTGAAAAAAATGGGCACCTGGAAATGATGAAGAACAGATAATCTGGGTTCACTGTGTAGATAAGTGAAGCAATTTACACAAAACACTGGGAATGTAATAGACACTCAACCAAAGTTAGCTTTCTTCTTTGCCGTTTTCCACTTTGCTCCTCATTCTGCTGCTTATACTGATACTGGATGAGACTTACTTCATTTCTTGAGAAGATTTATTCTAAAAGCATAGAATGCTGAATGTGCATTCAGTAGCTACACTTAGTGATCAGATCACCTGAGGACAAATGCCTGGCTAGATAACTTTAGCAAGCTGGAAAAAGTTGGGTTTTCTGGAGATTCTTACTGTATAATTTAAAGGACATTTGAGGATGTTGTAGTCAGAAGGAACAAATGGATTAGTTGTACCCATGTCTTTCTCTCCTGGGGTCTTGCTCATCTAAGTTTCTGAAAAATCCTGGTCTCAGATAGGTCTGCTGTTTTAGTGGAAGGAGATTTTAGAGAAAAAAGGAAGAATGTCTAAAAGATTAGGGCCTTTAATCCACCTTTAGCAATACTTAACAATCCACTCCTCACAGAACAGGAAGTTCTTTTCTCCTAGACTCTCAGGACCACTAGGCCTTAGGAGATCATCTAGTTTAGCTTTCTGTTGCTAGAGTGGCCTTCAGTTATCCTAGTCCTGTGATTGACCTGTTATTAAGGGTGGAGAACCTCATATCTAAACCAAGTTATCTCCTATGTATAGGGGTTACAGACTACAGTGTTTAGTGTATAAAAACTTTTAAATCCCCAAATCTTCTCTTTCTCATGCCATGTTTCCATGCCCATTTCCTCTTCCACTAGAAAAACAGCAGTCACAACAGTGTCACCTTGCACACTTAATTAAAAAGTGGTCAAAAATTATTTAGGCTCTGAGGTTAGTAGTAGAACTAGAGATACTAAGAGAATTTTGTTTTCTCTCAATTGATGGTATGTATTATGCTGAAGGTCATAAGTGTCACAATATTGATTTGAATTAGAAACAAATCCCAACTCTTTTAGATGCTTTCCAGAGTACTGTTAGGGGCAGCCTAGAATGTTTAAAAATTCCTGAGCAAAGAAAAAAGGAGTTTTATAGTTTATGAAGAAAGGGAAAGAATCCAGTAGAATTAGGGAGAGAAAATACAATGAAAAATAAGGAAGATTTCTTCCATGAGAAAGGTTAAGTATTTTATAAACCCCTTTTTAGTTGAGATAGTAAAGTTTTTCAAGAAGTATAAAGCAGTGCACGGTCATTTTATACGTAATCCAGGATTTCCTATGAATTGGGTCTTTTAGAATAAGTAGAGAACAAGAACCAGTGTTGTTGAACCTCAGAATTATGGTGTTTTAATGCCAGAAAGTGAACCTTACTATCTGGCTGGTTTCATACCTTTGGCAAATGGGAAAATAAACCCGGAAAGTTTCAGAGCCAGTAATAGAATGGGTACTGGAACTCGGGTCTTCTGACTGTGTGCAGCATTCTTTCCACTCACTGACATATGCTGTGTGATACTGTGAGCCTCCTTTTTTAAAGCTCTGATTTTTCTTTCTTTTTTGGGGGTGAAGACAGTCTCTGGTTTGTTGAGAAAGTGACTAATGACTACTCTGCTCAAATGTGCCACCTGCTTTTTCCATGTGTTTGCCAAGTTGTTTAGGCCTGTTTTTAGAATCAGAAAAACTTTTAGATGTGTAGTTGGAAAAAAGGGATTCTCAATAGTAATGTTTCTGATACATAGTACCTGTTGCCATTGCATGTAAGAAACAAATCTTTATTTCAGAAATACAAAATGGCCTTGTCTAAATGTGCTGATGTAGTCATGAAACAAATGATTTGATTTTCTGACGTCAAACTTGTTTTTGCATAGAAATGTAATTGGGGATGTTCAAAATAATTTCTATAAGTATCAGGGAACAATTTCATTTCACCAAAGTACAGACATTTTGTTGCTATAGGCCCATATTTTTTATACATTATACATTAGAATATTTCTAAAATAGGGAAGTGTCTTATGGTTCATGGTATCTTACCATAGGCAACATTTTTTCTTTCTTACTAGTATTTAATAGTACTTCTTAAAATCATTGGTGTTTTAGAGTTGATGAAATATGGTACTTCAACTAAACTTCATTTGTAAGTAAATACTAAGTGAATATATAATTTTGCATTTGAGTAGTGATTATTTGGGGTTTGGGCGTGGCCACTTAGCTACTCTGCTATATTTACGTTTCATAGGTAGGGACCAGGTTAGCTTGTATATTACATATACATAATATATATGATTAGTAAGTAACCATTTGTTAAATTCACGAGTACATGTATGAATAAACGAGTAACAAGGACACAGTTTGAGAGGTGAGTGGGAGGAGGAGTGTGTTTGTGAACAGTCTCAGGCTGTCCATTGGCATGGTACCAGTCACACAGGCCTTGGTTTGAATCCTCTCTGGGAAGGTGTTCTTTGGACATTGCTTACATCATTAATCCCACAACCATCTTATAAATGATGTTGCTGTTTGGAGAGCAGGACCCAGTATATGGCTAACTGATACAATTTTATCACCCTTGGTGAAATCTCTCTCAGGTTACTCAGTTCCTTTCCTTAATAGCCTCTGTTACAGTTTGTACTTTTAGCTTTGTGTTTCTTCATGTTTAGCTGTCCTACGGGGTACGACTCTTCATGTGTCTAAAGCCTAAGTCCATCTCGCTCACCCCTGCATCCCTACTACCTGGCAGATAGCCTGGCACAATGAATACCTTAAAGCAGTTTAGTCTTCTCATTCTGCATCAGTAATAATAATGATAACAAATAGTGAACAGTCAACTAGCACTTGCTCTCCCCTAGGCATTATTTTATATGCTCTATATATTCTGAACTCATTTAATTCTCATATTGCCTATGATGTTTATAGTAGTAGCCCTATTTTTGCAATGATGATGCACCTTTAGTAATGTTTCATATGCTAACAATTTACAAGTGTATGTGTGCATGCTACATATTATATGTAGACATGGATTAGTGTATTTACACATAAAATGTAGAGGTTATGCATGAGGACATACATAGAATAACATTCCTGGTTGGACTTACTTTAAAATATGAATTATATGTTTTCTTTTTTTAGGAAATGATTTACTTTTGTGCTCATGTGGATGTGAACCCAATTTTGGAAGTGTAGCAGGCACTTTGCTACCCAATTTAGAGACATCACTGCATAGCAATCTCACAGCATTCTTGTAGGCAGCTTCCCATTACAGGTGGGAATACTGAAGCTAAGGAAGATGAAAAGTCCCGCCCCAGGTCACTTGACTGGTGAGCCACAGAGCAAAAACTCAAACCCAGGCCTGTCTGGTTCCTGAAGTCTCAACTGTTCCTTGGGACACAATCCCAAAGTTACGTTGGTCAGTTTCTAAGAACTTGAAAAGAAAAGGTGACTCTACCACATTCCCTGGAGATGGCCAAAGTGTGGGAGCTACAGCTTTCCCACTGGGAAATTCTTCCTGGTGGGCAGTCTGAGGCCTTCCTGCTGCCCTCATATGTAACTAAAAATGCTCATTTTCTTCTG